TACAGAGTGAGTTCCAGGACAGCCAGGGCTATACAGAGAAACCCTGTCTCGAAAAAAAACAAAAACAAACAAACAAACAAAAAAATATAGTTAAGCAACTGGTCATAAGGGTTTGTGTCTGTAATCCCAGTACATGGCTAATTTAAAGCAAAAGAGTCATAATAAATTTGAGGTCAGCCCTGTTAGTGAACTCCATGCAAGACTGGGCTAAGAGTAAAGACCCTATCTCTCTCTCTTTTTGGTTTTTCGAGACAGGGTTTTTCTGTATAGCCCGGGCTGTCAAGACCCTATCTCAAAAAAAAAAAAAAATCCTGGTGGCCCATGCCTTTAATCCCAGCACTTGAAAGGCAGGTGGATCTCTGAGTTTCAGCCCAGCCTGGTCTACATAGAGAGTTCCGGAACAGCCAGGACTACACAGAGAAAACCGTGCTTAAAGGAACCAGCATTCTAGACACACATGAACCCACAGCAATTTGTGACAGTACACACAAGACCTCAGCAAGCTCAAATCTCCTGACAAAAGCCCAGCAGGCACGAGGGAGGCCCTACCCCTCACTGAGGAGTTACTAGCATCTGATAGTTGCTGACTGAGGGGAAGTCAGGCATCCTCTCAGGATGTGATTTCCTGGTGGGTTGACATGTCTCCAGGGCAGGTCCCACTCCCAAGAGCAGTTGGGTAATACAAACTGAACTCAATGGGACGAAAAAAGAAGAGACCTCGACGATGGGTGGGGAGGGAGGGAGGGAGGGAGGGAGGGATGTGGGTGTTGGGTATAACCAACATGGTGCCTACAATTCTCAAACCATTAAAAGTGTGTTTTACAAATTTAAAAATGTAATAGGGCATTAATGAGAAAGAAACATGACTCAAAGTACCATGGAGGAAAAGGGCTGCCAACATACAAGCCCCAGACCTCGGCTTAGAAAATTAATCCTCTTCACGAGACGAGCTGTTCCTTTGTGCCTGCTCCTTCCCGTGCGATTTCAGCAGAGCATGTGACAGTGTACCTTAGAAACTGTCAGCAGAAGGTAGGGTGTTTTATATTCCTGTCTTAAAAAGCAAAGCTGGTCGCAAAATAGATCAGCAAACACAGAACTTGGTCATACCACTTCCCACGTGGTTTCCCCATTAACAGGAAGTCCAGGATATCTGTTGCAAGTTTACAGGAACCAGCAAGGACGGCAGATGGAGACCGTGCCTGGCTGCTCTCCTGTAGGTTGGAAGCACTAAGTCTTAGAAGCTGTTACTCCTCGGACTGGCTGGTTTCGTGTCAACTTGACACAAGCTGGAGTTATCACAGAGTAAGGAGCTTCAGTTGAGGAAATGCCTCCATGAGATCCAGCTGAAGGCATTTTCTCAATTAGTGATCAATGGGGGGCCGGGGTGGGGGAGGTTACCCTATTGTAGGTGGTGCCATTCCTGGGCTGGTAGTCCTGGGTTCTATAAGAAAGCAAGCTGAGTAAGCCAGGGGGAGCAAGCCAATAACATCCCTCCATGGCCTCTGCATCAGCTCCTGCTTCCTGTCCTGCTTGAGTTCCAGTCCTGACTTCCTTTGGTGATGAACAGCAATGTGGAAGTGTTAGCTGAATAAACCCTTTCTTCCCCAACTTGCTTCTTGGTCATGATGTTTATGCAGGAATAGAAACTCTGACTGAGACACTCCTCAAAGAGGTCTTGGCTTTCAGGGCTAGTGGGACGCAGAGCCTTGATTTCAGGGACAAGAGGTTAAGGTTCAGTACAAGAGAAAAGCCTGGACACAGGGCTTTGCTAGTCACAGGACTGGGAGTGTCTCTGGAGGGCATGACAGAAACCTGTTTCTGCTGGTTAGTCACTGAAGCTTCAGCATTTGAGTCTGGGCCAAATCAGACACTGGAACTAGAGCCACCCTGAGGCCACCTGAGGTTCTGTGTGCTGTTCTAGTCAAAGACGCTGAAGCCCAGACCAAGCTTCCCTGCATAGCATCAGTATTAAGTAAAGGCCCATGTCCAGATTTCCTGTTGTGACTGTTGTAAGCCACCAGAAGGTTCCTGGGTTTCTGAGGACCACACCAGTTCCCTTCCTGGGTGACATCTTGGAGCACAACGCGACACAGAGGACAGTCAGAGTTGTGTTTTTGAGACTGTTGCTGTTGCTTTATTGTAAGTATCTACCTGTTTTGCCTGCATGTACTTCTGTGTGTGTGTCTATGTGTGTGTGTGTCTGTCTGTCTGTGCCCTCAGAGGTCAGAAGAGGGCCTCAGATCCCCTGGAATTAGAGATGGTTGTGAGACATCACCTGGGTGCTGGGAATTGAACCCAGGTCCTCAGGAAGAGCATCAGTGTCCTAACTGCTGAGCCGTCTCTCCGGCCCCTTTTGAGACTTTTAAAGGCAACCACACAGTGTAAATATAAGAAATACTGAGATTTCATCAAGGAAGCATTTTGTAGGGAAACCATTAGAAGGCATGTTGCTAAGACAGTCTTTGTGCTATAGATATGGAAGAGTCCATAAGCTGCTGGCACATGCCTACCATCCCAGCATTCTGGAGACAGAGGCAGCAAGGGCAGCACAAGCTTGAGGGCAGTCGGGGCTGCAGGCCCGCCAGAGCTACACACAAAGACCGCGTGTCGGAAGCTAAGGCTTCAGTCTGGAGAGATGGCCTGGCAGTAATGTACTCTGATACTGGATGTAATGATGTATGTCTGTAATCCGTCACTCCCACAGCAAGATGGGAGGCAAAAACATGAGAAGCAACTGCGGGGGAGGGGCAGGCGGGACCAGTGCATGCAGCACAGCAGAGACGAGAGACACCCAGCCTCAACAAGGAGGGAAAGAACCAATGCCCAAAAGCTGACCTCTGACCTCCTTATAAATGCCACAGTATAATGCCTGCACCCCTCCCACATCACACACACACAGAGACACACACAGACACACACACACAGAGTAAAATATAAAAGCTCCACCCCTAAATGCCAAAATGTCTACAGTAATACACTATTAGATTGTGCCTATAAAAGCAACTCTCCTTGACCTGACTTTTAAAAACAAGGCAAGTTTTACAGTGAGAATAGCTGCAATTACAATGTGTCTGCACATATTTGTGATCTGACATAACGCTTATTAGACTTTACGAATCCACGTCTAGGATGTCACTCACTTTGGTCCTGCTGTACAAAGCCCTGGGTTCAATCCCCGGCAACAAGTACACACACACACACACACACACACACACACACACACACCTTAAAAAGTCCAAAAAAAAGCCAGGTGTGGTGGTGCACACCTTTGGTCCCAGCAGTCAGAAAGCAGAGGCAGAGGGATCTCTGTGAGTCAGAGGCCAGTCTGGGCTACACAGTGAGACCTTTTTTGTTTTGTTTTGTTTTGTCTTGTTTTTGTTTTTTCGAGACAGGGTTTCTCTGTGTAGTTCTGGCTGTCCTGGAACTCACTCTGTAGACCAGGCTGGCCTCAAACTCAGAAATCCACCTGCCTCTGCCTCCCAAGTGCTGGGATTAAAGGTGTGTGCCACCACCGCCCGGCTCTGGAACCTCTTGAGATAATGCCGGCAGCTGGAGGCCAAGGAGGTGCTCGCTATCCTGACATCACATCCCGCGATCAAGGCTGCGAGCGATGTCTTCCCACCAGCCTTGGTCCTCTGTGAAAAGTGGCCGTTTTAAGGCTTTGTGCCTAACATCACCAAAAGGTCTGACCCAGAGGGGGGTGGCCAGCCAGAGAGGTCATCTGCTGGTCTTGGTGACTCTGCAGATTTGGAACAGATTATCTTAGACTTCCTGTCTGGTTTCAGACAGTTGTAACCACTCATATGGAGCCCCTCCCCAAAGACAGCAGCCTCAGAGCCAATGGGATGGCCCTTCACACACACACACACACACACACACACACACACAGACAGAGTTTAAAAAGAAGGAGGAGGTGGTAGCTTTGGCATTCAACCCGAGGGGCAGGGTAGTGACAGTCCTGAGTCCCTGTCACCTACTTGAGGTTACTTCCATCAAGAGAGAGCCTGCCAAGTCCCTGCCCATCTGTAGGAAGCTAGCAGCTTCTGAAGAGACAGCTGCTGACGTGACACTTGGGTCCAGTGCTTGGCCTTCAGCTATTCGGACTGGGGAGTCTGTTTCCAAATGTCCCTGGCTCTAATGATACCTAAAGCAAAGCAACGTAGTAGTCTGTTCCCCTGAAACGAGAGGCTTGGTGGCTGGCACCGTGAGGACCAAGGGACCCTCATACAACCTGTAGACTTGGACTGCCCAGTAATGAGGAGCAGAGCCCATGTGTCCAGTGGTGGCAATGTCTCTGTTCTACGTGGCAGCTCTGGGACAAAAGAGTAGGCGAGACGTGGTTCTGCACAGGTCTGGAAAGGTCCACCCATCATAAGCAGCGCACAGGGCGACGTCAGCTTCCTGCTACTGACAAACTACTGCGGACATCAGCGTAGAGGAGAGGTCATAGTGCCACAGACTCCAGTCCTACCACTCCGCCTCGCTGCTTTTGGGCAGCTGGTGAGGTGGCACCTGGTGTCAGGGAGCACATGGCAGAGGACACTGATTACCTCGTGGTAATAGGACAGAGAGAAGGGGCTGGACTCCTGCTAGCCGCTTTTAGGGAATGCCCTATGACCTACCACCCCCATATAGGCTCCAATAGGCTCCACTACCTCCCCATAGAGCCGTCACCTGGAAACTAAGCCTTCAGCATCCGAGCCTTTGGGAGACTTTCAAGATCTCAACCATAATAGCGACCATGAGCCCACACTCACCACACACATTTCCATGTTCTGTTCTCGGAGGCACCTTTAACCATGGTGACGCTGGCTGCTATGCAGTGCCTTTCGATGCTGAGGGGGTCACCTCGCTGTAAAATGACGACATCGCTCTAACCATCGGTCTTTCACACAAAGATGCTGCACCCACTGTTTCCCTTCACTGTGGTCAGGGCTGAGGACTCCCACCACACCACCAGAGGCGGCTGAAGGTTCACTCCCAACTTGCACTGGTTTAGATTCTTGCAATGAAACTTTATTCACATTTTACATTGCCAGAATCTGAATTGGTATAACACAGACATCAAGCATACAATGTATCAGTGAGACTGAGCCAGCTGGGGACGCAGTCAGGAACAGTCTGAACTGGGCCAAGGGACTTGTGCTCACTCAGTTCCCAGGGCCTCATAAACCTGGTGCTGTGGGTCAGGTTCAGGCGGCCTCCTCCTCCTAACTGCTTGTCTTCTTCGCCTTCTGCTTCAGCTTGCTCCACATCCTCTCCAGGGCCACCTTCCCCATGAAGAAAGTGATGGCAAAATTACGCTTGTACCAGTCCCTACAGGGAAAGAGAGGACCCCAGTCAGCTGCAGTGTCAGGCTTGATCAGACAGCCGCTCCCCTGGGGGTGCCATGGTCACCTGAGTCCCTCTTCCACCCCAGCTGGCCATATATACACATTCCCAGCTTCCCTATGTATAGAGAGCTCTGTCTTCCCCTGGCCTTAACTTGCAGATTCCTAAGGTCCCCTGTGACCCCAGCAGCATTCCTAGCCAGGCAGCAATAAGTAACCATGCAACAGCCTACCAGGCTTTCTAGGGACCAGGGCTGGGGGGTGTCCTGCTTTGGTCTAATTTGTATGAGACGAAGTATCTCAAAGTAGACGCTGAATGTCACAAAGCTCCAAATCCCTGGTGTCTTCTGGTGATGGGTCTCTGATCCTCTCATACACACCCTGGCAGAATCTGTGCAGGGAAAATACACTGGGCTGCTGCCCACAAGTCATCAATGGAAGCCCATTCACGGTGAGGTGAAGTCTGGAGGCCTTACTGCAGGGAGGAAAGGCGTACCTCAGACTCTGGGTGCAGGCCCCCACTGCCCCAAAGCCACCAGCACCAGCCGTTCCAGGCCCTGAGCTACTGAGCACTTCTGCCAGGGCTGGATCTCCTGACTTCCTGGATCTCAGCACAGAAGGTAAGAGAGGAGGCAGAGCCCTAAGGAGGCGACAGCTCAAGTCAGCCACAGTGTAGGGCCTCATACAATGTAGGTCCACAAACTCCATCCACCTTCCTGAGAACTTTACAGCTCACAAGCTGAGAGGACCCTGCTAGCAAGCAGAACCCTAAGCAAATAGGAAAGGCTCTGGGAGAGCAAGAGGCCACCCCGGGTGTCTCAGGCAAGGAGAGTCACACTGCTCTTGTGAGACAGATGATCTGATCCGGACATTCAGGCTGAGAAGCCAGCAGAGCTTCCCTGCTTCTGTGTGGGGGCAGCCTCCTGAGAGCACTGCACACAGAGCCTGTAGGGGGCAGCCGTGCGCTGTGTCCATGAGCTCACGTGGCTGAGCGCCTAACTGGGTCACAGTAACACAACACAGACTCTGCTCCCTTCAAAGCTCCTCCAGCCTCCAAGGCCGCCCATGTTCTCTGAGACCTAGCCACTCTGGCCACACCCAGCCCAGTCACTGCTACATTTTAATGCAAATCTCAAGTTGCATCTTAACTGTTTTACCAGATATAACAAAAAACTAAAACCTTAAATAAAAATTAGATTTATCAAGCCAAGCATGGTGGCCTGTTACACTTCTAATCTCAGCACTTGGAAAGTGGAGGGAGGCAGAATCTCTATGAGTTTGAGGCTAGCCTGGTCTACACAGTGAGTTCGTTCCTCAAAAAACAAAACAAACAAGCAAAACAATAAGAAACAAAAAAACAAACAATCACAGTAACAAAAAAGACCCAAACACGGTAACATCTTGTTATTTCTTGCTCCTGAGACAGAACCCTGGTCCACATGGCAAATACTGGGCACTCTGTAGAATGACTCCCAGTACTTTGAGCTGACATCTTCAGGTTCTCCTGCCTGCCCCACAGATACACAGCCCTTACTTTTGGATTTAGAGGCACAACCACACTTCTGCCCCACAGCTTATGAGAACAGCTGCAGGCGTGGGCTGTCCCTTCTCCTGCGGCATGCTGGGCCGCCCCACTGTGTAAGATTTGGACAAGTTTAGGACTCAGGTGTGGCACCCTCATTGGTCACCATCCAATCCCCACAGCTTTTGCTGACCGGTGGTTTTAGCAGCCGGGGATGACAAGGGATGACGAGTGTCTAGACCTGTGTGGCCATTAGGAAAACAATTACATCACTTTTTTTTTTTTTTTTTTTTTGGTTTTTCGAGACAGAGTTTCTCTGTGTAGCCCTGGCTGTCCTGGAATTCACTCTGTTCAGGCTGGCCTCGAACTCAGAAATCTGCCTGCCTCTGCCTCCCAAGTGCTGGGATTAAAGGTGTGCGCCACCACTGCCCGGCTTACATCACTATTTCTGAGTGTTCTTTTTGTTTTGTTTTCCAAGACAGGGTTTCTCAGGGCAGCGCTGACTGTTCTGGAACTCGATCTGTAGACCAGGCTGGCTTCAAACTCACAGAGATACGGCTGCCTCTGCCTCCTGAGTGATGGGATTAAAGGCGTGAGGCATCACCAGCAAGCCTGAGTGTTCTTTTGTGTGGTCACCTTTGAATATTGTTGGCACAAGGGCAGGGAAGCTTTCCACATGAGCCGTACTTAACCAGAAGAGACCCGGAGCCTTCATGAGCGCTCACACAGACACATGTGTGCAGTGGTATTTTGTAATCCTGTGTGTACTGCTGGGGTCTCCTGTGGCCCTTGATCTCTACAGACCTCCTTGTTCCCACCCAGGCAAATGTCCTGACTGACCCCATGTTCCAAGATACTTAAGGGACGCCATCAGGACCTTCTCTCTGACATAAGGCCTGGAGGCGCTGTGGGTACTGTGCACACATACTGAAGCTGACATGCTTAGTTCAAACTGCAAAAAGTGTAATCTTACAAAATCATGCAACTTCCACCTCCACTGAAACAGCAAAGCTGTTAAACTATGGTAAAAAAAAAATGACCCAGATGTGCTAGGTGAACTGTACAGCTGTGGATGTGCTAGGTGAACTGTACAGATGTGGATGTGCTGGGTGAACCGTACAGATGTG